TATTATCCTAATACTTTTGAAACAGGTTGAATTCAACAGAGAAGATCTAACGGTGAAATGTTCATGCATGCTTTTTGAGCGGTTTGGAATTTTTTGTAGACACATCTTCTGTATTCTAAAGATTTATGACATACAAGAGATTCCGTCAAGATACATTCTTAAGAGATGGAGAAGAGATATTATCCCCACCACAGTTTTGAAAAGGACGTTTAGATATGGTGATTCGTCTGGAAATGTTGAGAAGGTTGCATACAAAGCTTTTTCCATGCTTGATCAATGCTTGTCTTCATTAAGTAATGATGACAAGAAGTTAGAAGAGTTCATGCAGAAGCTTGAAGTTTTTATGACTGATATTGGTGAACAAGGTTCAGACAAATTACCGGTTACAAAAGAAGCTCATATTGATAAACTTTACGGAGCTACTACGAATCCTGAAGTTGTTGATGTTGAAAATCCACCTATGGTGAAGAATAAAGGTTCTGGTACAGGAAAACGTTTAAAAAGTGCTTTGGAGAAGGCTACTATTCAAGGTAACAAGCAATCAAGATCATGCAAAATATGTGGGGTTAAAGGGCATAATTCAAGGAAATGTTTGACATTGTTGAATAACTCCAAGGTACAAAGTGCATAGTTGTGTCTAGAAATATATTTCGATTTTTTTCGTATTTCAATAAAGTTCAATAATACCATATAGATAAAATTTTGAATTTCTTTAGTTTGGACATTTTTCAGATATTTTGGTTTGTGATGATGTGTGAGACATTTGGTTTGTGATGATGTATGAGACATTTGGGTTGTGATGATGTGTTATACATTTGAAAACATATTGATTCTTCTAATATTTTCAATCTTTAATTTTTTGAAGTATATACGAATGATTGCAGTATAATGTTTTGTTATCAAATTATTATAATACAAGATTATATATGTAAGAATGTTATATAGGTATATGCAACATCTAATATTATTCTAATAGAATAATGATGCCACTATACATTATTCTATTAGAATATTCTACCATGGTCATGAAGAAGTGATCATAATACCAACTATACATTAAGCATTAATCACCTAATAAACCATATCAAGTTTCTTACATAATACTAGGCATCATTTTTTTTGTCTAATTTGTTCAAAATAAGATAGATATTACAAAAGGAATTTTTGTTAAGTCACCATAACCACGTTCATAAAATTCCAAACTTCTATCAAATTCTATTTACTACCCATTTCCAATTCATCCATTCTATTGATACCTTCCTCTAACATCTTTTTTCTAGTCGCATGATCAAACTTTCCAAATTCGATTGCTTCTTTGATAACTCTCTCCTTGTGGTTGTCGATTTCATGTGTAGCAATCTTAACAGAATATAAGGCATGTAATTTTTCAAATTGCACATCTTGCACATCACTGCCTTTTTCCATTTCCACATTCCACTTTCCTTGCTTTTCTCCACAATATTTTTCCATATGTCTCATTAAAAGTGCTCCATTCTCTGTTGTCAACTTCTTTGTGTTCCAGTCAATTTTCATCATCTTCACTGTTGTTGATCGCAAACCTTTGATTTTATTGACGATAAATGTAGTTTTCTCCAGATATCGTATAAAGTACAATTTCTGCAATGTATATTAACAAAATTACATTATTCAATCTATTATATTGTAACTTTAATACATTTAATAAAAGTAAATGAAAACTTACTAATGATGTAGGTGTCATTCCATAAGTTTCTTCTAACGATTTTGTTTCTATGCTGTCTATAATATGAACTTGTGGATATGTTAGGTTGAAAACAACAGCATACATCTGATCACCATTAAGTATTGGGAAAACCACCTGCAATTCCAACAAATTGATCAAAAAGTTAACATAATTCCTATCCTTTAATAATGTAATATTTTAATTAATAAAATATTCTTACGAGTTTAAGATCATTGAAATCTACATTTGCCTTGAAATTAGATAGAAACTTATCAACACGAGTCTCAAAAGTTAAAAAACGCTCGTCAAAAGATTTAGTTTCATCTAATAAATCAGAACTCTGTAAACATAGAAAAACAGAAAAATTAGAATATCTTGTTATAATATACAACTAAAATATAAAAGTTCCAATTGTAAAAGAATTTACCATAATTTTGGTATTGAAGAACAGGCGGTATGGTTTACTTTTTGACTTTTGTTCCTCGTAATTTAGAACAGCAGCCCAAGAATCAATCACACTATGATGTATAACATGATAAGGTCGCATGCTCTCAAAATCCTGTCTATGCATAATCTCTCCCGTATTTGTTTCAAAAAGTACATCCCTTAATTTTAAACATTAACAAAAAATATGTCATCAACATTAGAATAAATATCCACATGCATTATAGTTAAACAACAATTCAAAAAAATAATACATGTTTAATTGAAATAGCAAGAGTTAGTGACTTACATTATGTTTTTATCCTATGCACATCTTATTAGAACCTGAATCAAAAGAACATTCTGCAAATCGATTCTATCAAATAAATTCACAGCTTTATCCATATATGGTGATTTGTAAGAACTTATATCATTCCCCCCGTGTCACCATTTTGAGATTCAACCCTTTCATGTGATCCTTTTTTTTCATTTTCATTGTTTTGATTATCAGCACTTGAAAAAATAGGATCTGAAAATAACTTAATGAACTTCTCTTTCAATTCATTTGTTATATTGACATCTGGGAACTTTGATATACAATCAGAAACAATTCGATACATGTCCTCCTTTCTGGATGAAACTTTATTGAACATCTTATCAAATTTCTCTTTATATTCCTGAAAAATAATAAAATACTAGAATTATAAGCATGTAATATTTTATCATCTCAGAATATCTTAGAATATTTACTATGAACCATAAACATGTAATATTAGAATATCCAGAATTTTTTATAACATCATACTTTAACGTAATATAAAAAGAAATTTTATTTTATATTTTAGTTAAAGTTACCTCAACAGTGTCATAAAGATCGTCTTTCACATTGGACGGTCCCTCGCTATCTCTCGTCATTTGTGTGATAACAACTTTTCCACATCCAAACCCACCATCTTCAATTTCAAAAGACTGCCTGCTATTCAAATCCTCTGTTGACCACATTGTTAATGTTGGAATTTTTGACTTTAAGATTAAACGCTGACATTCAAGACCGTCACAGTAAAGTAGCTGCATGATAGTAGTTTGTAAATTGTATTAGATATTCATAAATAAAAAATAATTACAATAATTAAACAAAAAGCATACCATCAATAACAACATTGGGCCATTATAATAGCATTTCTTTTTATCTTGATGCCATAGAGATCTTGTATTCTTCAGACAGTAATTTAAGTACGCACACCAATCAATGCATGAGATGTCTTCAACTCCAACTACTCTTCTAACAGGATCTATGTTGCACGTCCCATAAGAATGTGATTCAGCAAACGTATTCACAAACAAAGAAAGAAAATTTAGCTTGAAGATATCATCATCTCTTTTGGATTTCAGAATGGCTTCTTTGAATCCAGTGGCATTCATTGTTTCTTTTGTAAACTGGCTTTTCCATGTAACATACGTTTCGTTCTCACTGTCAACAAAATGAAAATCAAACAAGCTTCTTCCTCCATTTGGTAGACCAAAGACTTTATGAATCTTTTCTTTTGTGATCTTAATTTTTTTTATCAAGCACAATACTGTTGTTTTGATGATCATAATGTTGAACAACAAAATGTGCAAGCTTCAACGGAATTCTCTTGATGTTCAACTCCAAAAGTGATCCAAAACCCATCTTCTTTACACATTTTTTTGAGACATACTTAAACTTTTTATAACTTCAATCATAGCTCCGGGATTCATTCTAGTATTTATTGAAGGCAGATCTTTTAATAAATCTTTTGTTGTTTTTTGTGTCTTTTTCTCGATGTTATCATTTGTATTGTCTAACTTCCTTTTTTTATTTTTTTCATCTTCAGAATGCACCTTTTGTTTCCCTATTGTTCAATGGATTTTCAGAATAAATAATATTAGAAAAAAGATAATAACATCATAAAAATAGAATACAAATTAACACTTCAGAATATTCTATTAGAATAACATCTATATGAATATGTCTACTATGTTTCAGAAGTCAGTGAATGTTGATACGTCAATATAATTAATAACAGAAGTAAAAGTCAATATCATGACTTAAGTACTTAATCGCATAATTAAGTCCAAACTGTTAGTGATTAGGGTTAGGCAAAAACCCATTAGGGTTTAACTAATATGTTATTAGTCAACACAAAATCTCCAATTAAAACGAACTATGTAAAATGTTTCTGCTAACTGTAATTGTAAATGCATAATCTATAATAACAAATATGAATTTTACCTATATATGACATTCTTGCTATTAGAATAACATTAATACACAAGATATTATAGTACAAATACAATAATTGATGATATACCTTTTTTTTCTTTGGCATTTGCTATTGTATCGGCTGTTTCATCAATAAGCTTCAATGATTTTCTTCTTTCAATTAGTCGTTCGGCTATTGAAGTTTTTTCATGAGTTTTAGCCATATCCAACCTTCTTGTTGTTTATTGTCATTTTCATAATAAAATTAGGAATTAATAATTGATTTATCATATCCAAATATCTAGATTAACATTTAAAAATATTCTATTAGAATAAGGAAACAAATTAGATTAATATTTGAAAATATTCTATTAGAATAAGATTAATAGAACATAGAAAAACATTAATAGAATATAGAATATTTTATTGTAATACATAGAATAACATAAACAAATGAGATAAATAGTTTATTATAGTACATAGAATAACAGAAACATATTAGATTAATATTTAAAAATATTCTATTAGAATAAAATTAATAGAATATAGAAAAACAATTATAGAATATAGAATATTTTATTATAATACATAGAATAACAGAAACAAATGAGATAAATATTTTATTAGAATAGAATAACTGATGATGTACCTTTTTTTTCTTTTTCTTTTGATGTTGTAGCTGATAATTCATCAATCGACTTCGATGATTTTCTTTTTTGAACCAACAGTTTGCCTGTTGAAGTTTCAACTTCACTACTTCTACCGAGTGTCATCATTTTTATTTTTGATTTTGTCATTATTGTTATAATATTAGCTGCATGAAAATAATTAATGTTAAATACACTTTAATTGTTGTTTGTTATAGAAAAACACTTACATTTATTTCAAAATTATATTCTAACTCATCATAATAAAGATACACATAATAAATTTAAAGCAAATTGACCAATATGCCCATGCACTGTTTATTTATGAGATTAAAGTTACTTGAATTTTCTATAAACACAGTTACATACATACACATAAAAAACAGAAGCAAATTGATGAATATGTCCCTGTACATAATATTTTTCCATCCACTTACCCGAGTGATGCTTGACTTAACCATGCATAAAGTTTATACAATGATTAAAGTTTTATGTAAAAGAACAGTTAGAAGTTGAATCACATAGTAAGATGTCAAAAGTGGAATGATAACTCTCTATTTTCTCAGAAAATGCAGAAAACCAATATAATATCTTGATTGTCAATTACACAATTTTGTTTTTGTTTATGTGATGAGTTCTATACTAATTCAGATCAAGTTCTGAATTATTAGAGGACATAATATACAAGTGTTTAATGGAAAAACTTTATTATTCTTCTTCAGACCAAGACCACCAGGACCAATACCATGAGGAGGTTTCTTTTCATATCTGCCTTGAAAGCACTTGTGTCTATTTCCCTTTTCACATACACACAAAATCTCAAAAGTAATAAATAAATGTGTTTGGTTGGAATCAAAACCGAATGCCCTTGCAAATAAATGAAAGGCTAAAGCTTGATTTATCATCAATCCAAAGAATCCCACATAAGAATGTATTAAATGTAATATAAGTAGGGGCACATGTTTGTTATAAATACATACTCAAACAACACAAAAACGCTCATATTCTCAGATGTGAAGGCTTTGTCTCATTGTCTGTGCTGAGTATTTCACTAAGATACAAGAGCCCAATGCCCTAATTATTAGTATGTAGATATGGAGACTGGAGCAGCAATAGAAGGTCAATTCTCGAAGCTACATCGTCGTTTTCAAACGGAAACAAGGATATAAAATGATAATTAATAGAACTATTGAAATACCTGGAATTTCTTGAGAATTTTTGGTAATAATGTCATTTAGATGATCTGATGGTGTAGATTCTGAAGCACGTGTTGATGTAGCCATCTTCGTTGATAAGAAATACTCGATAAGAATGAAATTAAGTAAGTTTAGGGTTTTATCGAGGGATTAGAGACCAGAATATGAATCAAAACGTTTAAAATCGATATGACAAGGGTTTTTAGGGTTTTTATCGATGTTTTCAAGTGAAAATCGGATTCACAACATCGAAAAATGAAATCGATACAAGGAGAAATCGAAGATGATGAGTTCAAGGGCACAAGAAGTTAGGGTTTTGATGGAGTGTTTAAAACCGAAAATGACAAGAAGTTTGGAAGAGGGTTTTGAGAATACAGATGAAGAAATTGAGTTTTTTGATTTTAATGTTCTTCCCTCGTGAATAAGTCGTAATCTCAAAGTTATTACATTTGTCCCTTTTTCGTCCCTGGAAAATAAGTCCTAATATTTTTAGTCCCTTTTAATTTAAAAACTTGCACTTTAGTTCAAATATTATTTTAATTGTAAAATAAAATTACTTAATTACAAATATTCTAAAACAAATATTTTCATTTATTCTAAAATTTTACTTTTACTAATAGAGACAATGTACTTTTTTTTTCTAAAGTAAGATGTCCTAAAATATACTAAAATTTTATTATCCTAATTTTTTATTATTGTAACAGGATACTAAATTTAATTTCATTTATTCTTTTTATTAAAATATTCTAAAACAAAATTACATATTATATTATAGTTAGATAATAAAACGTTTTATTATTAAGTATTTTAATGAAACCAGAATAATCAGAATAATTTACATAAAACAAATTAGAATAAGCTTAATACAATATTAACAATATGTGTTTTTATTTGTCAAAATTATTGTATAAGAATAATAAACATATATGGATTTTAATCATTTATCATTTTACCAAACAATTTTTTAATCAAATAATTAGGCATCATCAAACAAAAATTTTAAACGCTATATATCATTTACTATTAAGCAGTAAATATTTTATCAAGATACCAACTAACTGGTTTAAGCATATCATTTACCAAAATATCAATGGTTTAAGCATATCCTCAAACATAAGCATTTAAAAAAAAACAAAATAGAAAATAAATTGTCTGTATGTAATAAGCCAATATAAGAAATTTTCAAACTTTCTTCATTTCCAGATTGTCTCTTGCTTCACTCCCTTCTTTCACCAACATACACCTAGTTTTCTTATCAAGTTTTGAAAATTCCAATGCTTCTGCAACATTCAATTTTCTCTGCTTGTTAATTTGATGGTTTGCTAGCTTAGCAACATAAAATGTACGCAACTTTGCAATCTTCTTAGATGTCCTAACACTTTCTTCTCCCAGTTCCACATCCCACTTTTCTTCTTTCTCACCCATGTATTTTTCCATGTGCCTCATCAAAAATATACCATCATCATTTGTCTTAGCTTTTGTTTGCCATGTCATTTTCATTTTCTTTGGCTTCACAGATTTAAACAAAGAAACCTTATCCCGCCGATTGTTGTCCAAAAACTTTGAAAAGTACATTTGCTGCAATGTATATTAATAAAATACCATTATTTTTATAAAATTATAACTATATTAAGTAAATAAATCTTATAAGAATATAAATATTATATTTTATATTCTAATCAGAATTTATTTACTTATACAGAGTGGTTTTTTTAAAGTAAACAATTATGATTAAAATAAAAATTTTAGATTTATGCAAGAAACATTTACCACAAGTTTAGGAATCTCTCCATAGATATCTTCCACTTTTTTGGTGTATCTTATGCTGTCAATGATTATATGTTCTGGATTTGTAAGGTTGAAAAGAAGACAATAAAAATGACCACGGTTGTGTATTGGAAAAAACACCTGTAGTTCAAACATAAATACAGATGA